TGTGCTCAGTGCTGGTCGGGAGGATGCAGTGTATTGAGTTGTCTCCATCCTTGTTATTTTACTGATTGAATCAGTTGAACTGTTACCCTGATAGGGCTTCACGCTGCTATAAATGAGCTGTCCTGTGCCAAGGCATCTGTCCGTGTTCCTGACAGCAATTGCTCAGCATGATGGGTTGCCTCTCTTCACATGAGCCTGAATCTGAAATGACACTCACTGGTTTCATCAGGCAAGGAGATTGTCTCTGTCCTCTTCCCCTATCTCAATATCCAGAAAATGAGAATGTCTTGTGTGTTATGTTGCCATCTTCAATCTGGTCTGCAGAGAAGTTTCCTTATGCCTGTCTTCTTTTACTTCAATGCTTTACATGCGGGGTTGGTGTTTGAGGAAGCTGCAGTGGGGTGTTTCCAGTTTGCTGGTGGATTCCATGTGTGTAAGTTTATCTTTAAGGTTCCTTCTGTTGTTCCCCATGAGCAGAACTTCACATGTGGCTGAACCTGCCCACACACCCTCTGCTGCACTTCATCGTGATGTGCAGGTACTGTACTTGCAGTTACGCACTTCGGGGGTGCCTCACCTTTGCAGTGCTGCAGCAGTCATCCTTCATGCACTGTGCTGGGGACATGGGGCTGTGTGGAGCTGAGTCCCAGCCTGTTGCAGAAGCAGCTTTCAGGAGATGGATACACTGCAGCAGTTGTGGATGGCTCCGAGCATCGCAGCAGCAGGAGGGTGCTCTGCTAAACCACGAAGGAGACGTACATCACAAGAGCACTCGACCGCTTTGGGCCTTTTGCCAAAAAGTGGCAATTAAACTTTGGTCTTGTGGACACCCCCACCAGTTCCCAGGGGAGACTGCAGGGAGGGGGAGGGTTCCATCTGAAATAAACAGGCACACAGGAAAGGATCTTGTCTTCATGCCTTGGAGCACCTCCCGAATAACAACAGATGGCTGCAGAACACTGGCAGACAGGTAGCACGACACCGTCCTGCTGCAGATCAGCATCTTCCAGTAAGTTTTAGGAACTTTTCTTATTCCCAGTAACCCCATCACTGTTCCTGTTTGGAGTAGATAGAAATGAAACCCACTTGAGTATTTTAGTGCTCTTCCCTGTGCACAGTCTATTTTAGGTTCAGTGATAATATTTTCCTCAAGATCTGGTACCCAAAGTCTGCCTACTTTTTATTCTTCTTCATTTACCTGCTGTCCGGCCCCCATCAGCCACTTGCTGGCACTGACACCTACTCCATCAGTTAGCTGGGGAGTTTGTTGCTCTGAAATGCACAAAGTTCTCCCAGTTAGTATTTGCTCTAGACTCCTTTCCCTCACCTCCCCCTTGCCCTGTTGGTGCTTCAGGGTTTTAAGAAGGAAGATGCATCGTGATGCAGATGTGTTCATTGAAACAGATACAGGATACGAAGCACTTTACCTCGCAGCTGGAACAGTGCCCTGAGCTCCCAGCACTCTCGGCTGTTCGGGACATGCACTTCCTGACTGAGGCATGTTGGTATTAACCAGGCTCCTGCTGAGCTCCTGGTTTTCCAGTCCATCACCAGCTATGCCTAGAGGAGAGATCTTCTTCAAAAGGAAAGGTAAGGTGGAAAATCCTACCTTCAAGCTCTCTCCCACCGGTCCAAGGCTGTGGGGATGATACCTGAAAGCTGACAGAGAAGTCAGGAATTTTTTGCAGTTTCTATGGAGACTGTAATTACCACAGTGATTCCCTGCGTGGTTTTCAGCTCCTGAACTTGGTGCCTTTCCCATTCCCATGCATTGCAGGTGTGCCCTCTCCCTGGGATCAGCCCTGCTTTCCCATGTGCAGGATGAGCTGGAGAGTCTGGGGCCACCAGGCATTCCTTGCAGGAGAAGCAGGGCGGTCTGTGAGGAGGCAGGATCTTCTGAAGGCAGAAGAAAAGAGAAGCAAGTTGTGCTTGGTCTGACCAGAGAAATGCAGAAATTGCTGCTGGGTGAAGGTGCAGAAACAAGCAGCTCTGCTGGTGAATAACTATCAGATCCCTCTGTGTCTGGCTTGGCCATGAGCATCACACGCTGTGAGGGGACCATGGGGCAGCGTCCTCATGCCACAGCCACATGTCCACTCGACTTGTGCCATAAGAAGCAGTGACATGTTTCTTCACTGTTTTACTGCTCTAAATGAAGGCAGAATCTTGATAATGTTTGTGTTGACTTGAATAAAGACCTTGTACTCGTTGGTTAGTGACATGGGTCTCACTGGCTTTGGTGGGTACTTTGTGTCTACCCAGTTTTGCTGTGATTTATTCTGCTCTACTTAATAAAGGGATTTTTCCTGTTACCTTTGCAGTACTTGATCAGTAATGGTAATTATTGACAAAGATCAGTTTAGGTTATAAATGTGAGCCTGTGCTATGCACATAATGAAACATCCTCGTAACGTCTAAGAACAACGAACATAAATACTAATTTCCATCTCTTAGCTGAAGGAGTGACGGGTGTTCCCAGCTCAGGCATCCTGATGGGCAGGCTGCAGGACTCACCTCTGCCTGTCACGTTGCCAGTGACTGCTTGCTCCTCAGGGGCTCTTTGTTCCCAGCTGTCTCAGATGCACAGAACAGCATGAGACAGGTAGCGCTCAGCTGCCTTCCTCCTTTTGAGGGTCCTGTCCTCTTCATTCTGGTAGCACATTTCAGTGTCTGTGACATCTAGATAAACAGCTTCTGCTTTTATCGAAGTGTCCAGCAAAGCCCTTCTGAGAAAGCAGAGGCTGACGTGGATCCTGGTGCAGCCCCAGATGAACCCCCCACTTTGTGCTGAAGAAAAACCTCTCCTGCTTTAAAAGATCAAGAAAAATCTTCATATCACAGACACCATGAGCTTGTCCGTGAACCTTCTGATCCATTGTTGCTTCCTGGGTTGGGTCTGTCCCTCTGGGGGGTGAAGCCGAGCTCCCCATTGCACCCAGGAGGGCTTGGACACGGGTGCCACAGCTGTGGGCTGGGGATGCGGGTGCGTGGGGCAGTGGCCTTTCTCCTGCAGCTTGGCTGGCTGCTGCACTCGTTATCTTATGGAAAATCAAAAGTGTCATTTACTTCCCTGCAGTGGAGACTGTTGAGGGTGGGTTTTATGTGTTGCTTTTTAATCTGTCATTGTGCTTCATCTTAGCAAAGGTTAATTTTCTATTCTTCCCTCACTGTGCTTTTCTCTCTTTTGTCAGCAAGTTCTTTGTTGTTGTTTCCCGAACGGAGCCGGCAGCTCTGTGCTCTAATAGCTGTGCTAGCAACCGTACCTCTCTGCTGTGGGCTGTGTGATACTGTAGGTCCTATATGAATGCTAATTTACCCCTTTGATGAGGAGTTCCTACCACTAAGACTTCTCTCTGTGCAGTTATTTTCAATCCCTATTCCTAGGCAGATTATACCAAGCTTATGCTGACAGAATTATTTGACAGCATCCCTTAATATTTCAGCATCTAGTAAAGAGCCCAAATCCTGAGGATATTTTGCAGTTTGTTTTCTCTTTAATCTGTTCTCTTTGTTGCTGGAAATAGATTCTGTAGCTCTTAACCTTGATAACGTCATGGTAACGTCCATCTTACTTGATCTGAAACCATTAAGTGTTGAAGGAAAACAGGGAAAATAACAGAGGAAGGGTGAGCATTGAACCAAATAATTGTATAAATGCCAAACTAAAACCAGCCTCATCTTCAGTGTGATATCCTTTTGCCAGGAATTAGTGAGATGTATGTTCTAAGTAATGGATTTTGCCAAGGGTGTTGGTGGGGAAAGAGAAGAGTAAAGCATATGTACATAAGATACCAACGTTGGGTAGGTACTGCTTAAAAGGCAGCCTTGCTTTTCCAAGTTAATGGACCTTGTCAGCTGAAATACAGTATATATTGAAACCCCTGGAGAGCTGAAGAGTTCCTCCATGCGCACTCTTCCCCTCAACTTCAGTTGAAGAGACCGGGTTTAATTATTTTCATGGGAACAGCAGTCTGGTTTGGTGCCTCTTTTTGGTGAGCTGCAAGCCAGCAGAAGTCAGTGATTTATTTGCGATGGGAAGGGGAAGGTTCCAGCCCACCAGAGCTACCCCAAAGCCCCTGGCACTTGGAGGAAGCTGGGGATGGTTCCTGGGCTGTTCCTTGCCTGCTCAGAGTCCTTACCAAAACCAAACAGCTTTTGTTCCTCAGTGCCCATTTGGCAGAGGTGTAAACAGCTGCCCAAGGAGACAGAGACAAAGGCAGATTGATTCGCAGCTCATTCTCAAAGGCGCTGACAATTTATTGCTGTATCAATTATTTAATGCATTATTATTTATTGCTGTGCAATTATTTAATGCAGGGTGGGCATAGTCTGAATGCGAGGAATTTGTCCAAGTGGGATTGCTTGGGTGCAGTCACATCTGCTGAGGAGCACGGGTGAAAAGTGTATTTAGCTAATAAAAAGTAGGCTAAAAGTGCAGATGTTTTCAAACATACCCTGAAAGCCTGCGCTGTGCTCAGAGTTGCATCCACAGTTACCCAGCACTTGGGTGGGGATGCAGCAGATGAGCCTGGGTTCTGCTGGGGGAACAGTGAGCTGATTCCTCACGGCAGGTTTACGTTGTGCCAACTCGTTGAATGCCGATGTCATTTTCACTAGGTGTAGTCACACATTTGGTTCTCGTGTGGGATTTCTCTCAGGGATGTGCAGGAGAATTCACCCGCAAATTAGCAAATCCCCACCTGGTTGAGTGGCATTTTCTTCCTGCAGTAAAAGCAGCCTGAGCTAGGCTGGAAAATGGCAAATAACCCAAACTGGGTCTGGAGACTACTTTGAAGTCACGTCTTCCCCATGCAAATAAATCACTGACAGCAGGCAGTGAATGGAGCACTGAGCCCTTCCTTGCTTTAATTGTCTCTGAGAAGCAAAGCAACTGGGAATTTTCAGGAATCTCCCAGCTCAGGGGGTAAGGGGAGGGGGAGACGCGACAGAGCAGCTCGTAGGAGCTGTGCTGCGTGATTGATGGTGATTTCTTATTGCAGTTTCCTGCTTTTTCAACTTCACCACCCCGTCTGGGATTGTGCTGTCACCAAATTACCCTGAAGAATACGGAAGCAGCTTGCACTGTGTTTGGTTAATTATAGCTAAACCCGAGAGCCGCATTCACTTGGCTTTCAATGACTTTGATGTGGAGCCCCAGTTTGATTTCCTGGCTGTGAAGGATGGTGGCACTGCCGAATCCCCGGTGCTGGGCACCTTCTCAGGAAACCAGATCCCCTCCTCTCTGACCAGCAGCGGTCACGTAGCCAGGCTGGAGTTCCAGACCGACCACTCCATGGAGAAGAGAGGCTTCAACATAACCTTCACCAGTAAGTGCCCCATCCTTCCTTCTGGTTTTCATTTCATGCTCTAAATTCTTGGTGGAGACTAATAGGCAAGAGTCTGATCTCACTATAACTCCTGCAATTCCCAAATAAATCCAAAAATTAGGGATTACCTCAGATTTGCAGCTGGGTAATTGAGGATCAGTGTCAAGCTTAGAGCTGATTGCTCAAGTTCTTTCTGGCTGTGAAGTTTAAGTGTTGTCCAGCAGTGTGAAAGACACAGTTTGCCCCTGGATTATCCATCCTTGGAGCAGCCGGGGTTTCTGTTCTCCCACCAGCCCACAGCTTGCTGCATTCCATGGGCTTTCTGCTCTCCTCTCATGCCCCTGTTCTGCTCACTGGGCTGAGACTGCTTTGTGGGGACCTCGGTGCAGATCAGCACCAACTATTCAATCTCAGATGCTTGTGTTCATCAGTCAGTCCTGTCACCACTTCCAGTCGCTTAAAAGCACACATGATTTTGAAGTTAAAGGGAAACACGTAGCAGTGTCTTAGAGTATAAAGCCTTGAAACTTCCACAGAGATGTTTGGCTTCAACTCAGACCAGCGCCTACAAACCTCCGATGGATGCTGTGGTAACTTTATCCTCGTATTGTCCTATAATTTCTTACAGAGCATTATTAAACCTGTTTAGCAGAACTGATAAATGACTTTGTTACAACAGCCTTTAGTAACAGAGCTGAATTAACAGCCCTTCGAGCCATGACAGCAAATCCTCTTTATTAAAAAAATAAAATCAGAGGTCTTAATAATCATTTGCCACATTACAGCAGGCTGAAGGTTCACAGATGAAATGGGTTGTGTATGGTACTATCACATAGCCAAGATTGAGCCCTAGACCCTGTGAGGGGGAGGCAGCTCCCCAGGAACGCTGGTGGTCCCTCCAGGATGTGTCTCTGGTACGTTCCGTACCCGTGCTGCAGCTGTGGCTGTCCCCTGAATGAAGACATTTTTAAAGCAAGTTCTTTATTGTTGTAAATGACTCCTAAGTTTTCAGCAGTTGATGTGTTCTGACTGCTTGAATAGCAACAGGGAGGTGCTGAGTCTGGCTGGACACCTTGCCATCCCAGGTCAGGTATGAGAGAGGAGACGGCGTACCGCTACAAGGGACAGATAGCAGAGCACAAAGAACAGCTTCAGCCTGTGTTTTCCCCTTCAGCAGTGTATATAACAAGATATTAGAAGAGTAATGATGCTTCATAAGAAATCCAGAACTCATCTGACTTTGGTCAAGTGCATTAAGGATACTAAAAGCATGTGTGTGTAATTAATCTGGAGGCTTTAATCTTTAATATGCTGCTCATGTCTTAAGACCACCTCCCAGCATGTGAAGATCTAGTACATAATTATGCACTTAATGGGGAATGAAGGCTATAGACTTACTTTTGGCCTAGTTTTTAGCTGCTGGAAAAGCGCAGGCCTTTAAACAGGGCTGTGTGTCTGTGCAAGTCCATGTGCAACTTTGCAGCACCTAGAACGGCAGTTGCTGTGTGTCCTTCATTTTACCCTAGTAATGATGACAAGCGAGGTACATGGCAGTCAGTCACAGAGGGTGCTGACAGGACCCTTCCCTTTAACTACAGCACCTCAAAGCTTTCATTTTTCCTCCTTAATGGTTAACTGATGTCCCCTCTGTGCAGATGCTTTAGTTTTTTAAAGTGTTTGAGTATTTGTGTATTTTTCATGTGTGAAAGATGGCTAAGACAACGATTTGGTTCTGCAGGCTCCTTTCTGGCCCCTGTTGCTGCTGTATCCCAGCACCTCTTAGAGGCATATGGGTTTAATCTCATGCTTCCTCTCTCAGGGGGCAAATGAACTGCTTGCAATAGGGACAGGGGATGGAAAAATCTAAGTGAATTCAACTAGATGAAATGATGAATGGTGGGAACATACACTTGGGTGTCTTAGAGAGGCAGTGATGACATGGTATCTGCCACAGGCTGGCTTGTCCATGTGGAACACAGTGGCTTTGGTAGGTCAGATTCAAGTCCATGCTGTTTGGTCTTCCCTGTGAGGACATCCCACTGTCCAGGGGCAAGAACAAGTACTACTGCCTACACAGAAAGTGCTGCTTAATTCCTAGTTTTGTGGTCCATCATACTTCTGAATTGGACAGAGGCAGAACCTCACTATTCTCTTTTCTTTCCCTCTCAGCATTTAGGCACAACGAATGCCCTGACCCTGGTGTGCCTGTGAATGGGAAGCGATTTGGTGACAGCCTCCAGCTTGGCAGCTCAGTGTCCTTCTTGTGTGACGAGGGCTTCATTAGGACGCATGGCTCAGAAACCATCACCTGCATCTTGAAGGAAGGAAATGTGGTGTGGAACAACGCAGTGCTCAGATGTGAAGGTGAGTTTTATCATCTTTCCTACTAGTCTGTACATGCAGCCTGGAGGGAGAATGATCCCTGGTGTTTTGGGGTAACAGTTCTGTCGAGGTCCCAGTCAGATAACCCCCAGGGAAGAAGGTGCACAGTGCTGCCATCATATAAGCAGAGGCTCTTGTTGAGAGCTGAAGGACTCCTGGACTTAGTTCTAACCCTCAGCTTCTCAGTTACGGCCAGGATTTCACCCAGCTCTGGCAGGTGTTGTCTGCACAGGATTGTTTGCTGAGGAGGAAGAGCCAGGCCAGTAACCGCTGAGCACTGAACTCGGTTTGTTTTCTGATTTTCTGTGGAATGAAGGATGGGAATTATTTTTAGTAGCTCAGTTCTGGTTACAACAGGCGTTTTCCTAATAACAATAATAAAAGGCTTTAGTTTACTGATGACTCAAAGCTTCCCTGCTTCTCTTGTCACAAAGGGAATGAGAGAACAGGAAGATACACAGTGACATTTTTTCTGTCCTGATTTTTGATAAATGTAAAATGTATAATAGTTATATAATGAAAGAAGCAAAAGGTACAGATCTTGACTGTAAGAAGTGAACATGCGTGTACCTTCAGCGTGTCTTGCTCAGTATCAGCCCTGTCTGATGGACTCTGACAGTTGAGAGACACAAGTTCTGCATTTGCATCTCTTGGCCGCAGCGGTTACAATAGCCAACCCAGAAACGGGGGAGGTGGCTGGAGAGAAAGGCTTTCATACAGATTTCACAGCTTTTTTCTAGTCCTTTAAAGCTTCTACTATGGGAAGAAAAGTAGTGAGAAGTCTTCCTCTGCCCTGTTCCCAGGGAAGCGATGCCCTGCACTGGTATTTACAGTAATTTGAATAACAAGTACTGTGCTAGTGAGAAATAGTTCTGTAATACTGAGAAATAATTTGGTCATGCATTGTTCAAGTGGATGAGA